ATTTATTAGGCCGGTGATTGAATATAGAGCAAATCTTTATTCCATGTTCAATCACCACCTTACAAAACAACTACTGGAATTGGAACGGGGAATCCTGCGTAAACTACAAACGGCACGACTACCCCTTCGCCTTCATACAACAACTGTCGAATATCCAGCCCATCAATGAGAGGCCTCCCTCTCTGAGCAGGAGTTATACACTCAAAACGATCCGTGGCCAAAACTTCAGAGCCCAAATATCATTATTGCCAAAATCCCAAAATTATTATTCAGAAAATCCAGATATATACACCAAAAAACCAAACGCTAGAAAATGTCAAGAACATAGGTTAATTAGTTTGATGAGCAGTGTACTTAAAGTACCCGTACTATCATTCACTCGCGCATATACATCAAATTAGAAGAACACCTTCAGAGATTCAGAGCAGGACTCGGAACGAGGGAAGCACTTTTTAGTTTGCAAGTTCTAATACAGAGAGTCAGGGATATCAACTGTGATGTGTATGCATGTTTCATTGATTTCGAGAAGGCATTTGATAAATTCCCACATGGGAAACTAATCGATAATCTAAAAACATCATGACTCGATGGTAAGGATATAAGACTAATCTCAAACTTATATCTCCAACAAAAAGCAACAGTACGATTAAAAAATGAACTGTCCGAGATCTTCACAGTCGAAAAAGGAGTTAGACAGGGTTGCATATTGTCACCGGCATTATAGACTAGGCGGGATCTGTAAAAATTCAGACCATAATGGACATTTCCCATAGGAAACTATTTTTTTGCTGGAATCCCTTCAGGATGTGCCCAATATCGATAATCACGATATGCGCCAGTCGCAAACCCTGTGCTAAATTTTTTATTTAACAAAATCCGAAAACAATTGAAAATTGCTCATCTTTTTGCTCCTATTTTCGTTTATAATTCGGAAAATATTTATCCTAGAGAAAAAATTATAAGAAGTTAAAAGTTTCGTTATTCAATTTTACACAATATGTCGTTAGCTAGAAATTGAAAATTTAATGTTTATTGTTGAAAAAATAGCAATAATTGGAAAAAAAAGTACAAAAAAATTAAGTTAATCCTTTGAATGTTTTCGACTTTTTAAACTTGACTTACAAGCTCCATATTCCGCCTGGAAAAACTTTTTAATATGTTTAAAACGTGTGCTAATTTTTTTTAAGATCGGTCGGATAGGTTTTGCATAATAATTTTGCAATCCAGCCTACTGGAAAAAAAATCGCAAATTTTCAAATTTATAGTAGGCCCTAAATAAGGCCCTCAGAGAGTTGCAATTTTTTTTTACATATAAAGGAAGGCTCAAACTTCCAAACGCTTTTTGTAAAATTCAAATCGGTTCACTAGCAGAGCCTAGAAAATTTTTTAAAGTTTTAAACATTTTTTATGCTTATAAACAAATTGAATAACTTTACGAGCTCTAAACATATCATTTTCGAATCAAAATATATTCTCAAATCAAATAATGTCATTATTATGATAAAACTGCAGAAATTAATTATTTTAAAAAGTTTGATTTTTACAAAAAAAAAATTCGTTCGCCTTGCAATAATTAATTTCTGCAGTTTTATCATAATAATGACATTATTTGATTTGAGAATATATTTTGATTCGAAAATGATATGTTTAAAGCTCGTAAAGTTATTCAATTTGTTTATAAGCCTAAAAAAATGTTTAAAACCTTAAAAAATTTTCTAGGCTCCCCTAGTGAACCGATTTGAATTTTACAAAAAGCGTTTGGAAGTTTGAGCCTTCCTTTATATGTAAAAAAAATTGCAACTCTCTGAGGGCCTACTATAAATTTGAAAATTTGCGATTTTTTTTTTCAGTAGGTTGGATTGCAAAATTATTATGCAAAACCTATCAGACAGATCTTAAAAAAAATTAGCACACGTTTTAAACATATTAAAAAGTTTTTCTAGGCAGAATATGGAGCTTGTAAGTCAAGTTTAAAAAGTTGAAAACATTTAAAGGATTAACTTAATTTTTTGTCATTTATTATTAATTAATTATCAACTTAGATATGAAGATGATACAGTGTTGCTGGCAGTTAGTGCGCAGGGGCTCCAAAGGATGATTGATAACGTTGTAGAAGCATGTAACAAATACGACCTAAACTGCAAGAAGACAAAAATAATGATCACTAGTAAGAACACGAACATAAACGCCCAAATTACAATAGGCGATACACAGTTGGAAAAAATATGCTATTTGGGCTGCAATATTAAGGATTTTATTTTCATTTTATTCTTGTTGAATAGGCCACAATTGATGAAATGTCCCTGAAGATGCTCTAGGGAGCGCAAGTACTTGGGCAAGATTAAATTAATAAAACTATTCTCGATATCTGCCTTTTAATTGATCAAAGTTCATTTATTCGAGCATTCAACCGTATATCAAATTATTAAATTTATTTTTATGGATTGATTCGTGGTTTTTATTAAGTATTAAATAAGAATAACTTTGTTATATTATTACACAAAGTTAAGTTATTATAAATTATAAATTCTTGTGAATCCAAAATAATATCAGTGTTATGACTTATTGTATATGTATCATCATGATCACGTTTTATAGTGTATTTTTATGTATGAGAGAGTAATAAAACAATAAATTATGTATGCAAATCCCTAAACTGTTGATACGGGTGACTCAATGAAAAACAGAGATTTGTCAACAAGTTTACAGAAGTATATAGGAAAACAATTTTAAATTGAGTATGACCACCAGGTATAAAGGTTGGAGCAGAATAGAATACAATAGTTGTGAGGGTTACTAATCCCTAAATAAGGTTGCCAGTGTCGGAGTGATGGAGGTTAACAGGTACTAATGAATTTGCAAGAAATGTAAGATGTTTATTTTATTGGTTATATATAACCAATAAAAGTTTAATAAGTACCTACCTATTTGCAAAATAAAGTTTAATTCTTTAGATAAAATAAAACGTTTTATTTTATCTGAAATGAGTGCATTCCACGAAGTAAGGGTTTCAACAATCAAACATTTAATTCTTTAATTCCAGGAATCTACGACAGTAATTGACTAGATAATTACCTTCTAAACTTATTCCACAGAAAATGTGATAGTGGGTTTTTCCATTTTGTAGGAAGGTCTAAGTGGCGTATTCAAAATTCTTAACAGTTCACTAAAAGTAGGTACTTCAGTTGCAAGGTGCAGTTTATTGTGTAAACTAGTGTTATGGAAAATTTGGAAGTGCCGTGTAAACGCCGAAAAATTGGTCCTTTAACAGTTAATGAAAAAACATTAATATTTAATTGTTTTAAATCATTTACAGACAAACGTTTATGTAAAAGTGTTGATGAGACCGTTGAGTTAGTTAGCAGTACACTTGGTGTTGGGAAATGTACGATTTACAGAGTTATTAAAGAAGAGAAATGTGGTAGTTTTCAAATGCCACGTAATGCTCCAGGGAAACCAAAATTTCAAATAGAATATCATTTTAAAGAAGGACTTCGACGGAAAGTGCATGAATTCTTCTTTAGACAAGAATTTCCAACATTGGATAAAGTTCTTGTCTCAGTTCGAGATGATAAGGATTACCCAGAAATGAGTCGAAGCACGTTATGGAAACTTTTAAAAGAAATAGGCTTCCGCTGGAAAAAGAATCCCAGAAAGTCTATTTTATTAGAAAGAAGCGATATTGTCATATGGAGAAGATATTTTCTAAAAACCATAAAGGAAATGAGAAACCAAAAAAGAAAAATATTTTATCTTGATGAAACATGGATCAACGAGGGTCATACACCAAATAAATTTTGGCAGAATGAAACTGTTACAAGTCAAAGGCACGCTTTTGTAAATAACTTATCTACTGGTTTAAACCCACCATCAGGAAAGGGACGCAGGCTGATAATAGTACACATTGGCAGTTCAGACGGTTTTGTTGAAGATGGTTTATTAACTTTTGAATCAACTCGTACCGGTGACTACCATGAAGACATGAATGCTGATGTCTTTCAAGAATGGTTCGAACAAATGATAGATCTTCTTCCAAAGAACTGTGTATTAGTAATGGATAATGTAAGTTATCACTCCAGACTTATAGAAGGACTGCCCACAACCAAGTGGTTAAAAAAAGACTTGCGGAATTGGCTGAGTTCAAAAAATATTACGTACCATCCCGGATCTATAAGAAAGGAACTTTATTCGTTGTGTGCCCTTCATAAAGAAAAATTTAAAAAATACGAAATTGATGAAATTGCCAAAAATCGTGGAATGACAGTACTTAGATCCCCACCATATCATTGTGAATTAAACCCGATTGAACTGGTATGGGGACAGATAAAGAGTGAAGTTTCAAGAAAAAATACCACTTTTAAAATTCATGATGTCAAACAGTTGTTTTTGGAGGCCGTAAATAATGTAAAACCTGACAACTGGGAAAAGGCAGTAAATCACACTATTAAAGAAGAGGAAAAAATGTGGAAGCTGGACAATATTACTGATAAAATGATCGAGCCAGTTATTATAAATCTTGGTTCTGAAAGTTTATCTTCTCAATCTGATTTGGATTTGTAACAAGTAGCTGTAAGTTTTATATTAATATTTTTATTCATCTATTTAACATACCTTAGACGGTTTTAAAAACTCTTTTTCTCTTTTGTAATTTTTAAAAATTAAAAAAAATGTGAATTTTTTAAAACCCTTTTTAATGTAGGCCAGTCAGTTCTAATATAGTGTGTGATAAAAGAGGTCACTTTTGTTTACATACACATAACACTTTATAACACTGAAATAATTCATTTATTTTTTACAATTATTCAAAGTAATTTGTCAATTAATCTTGAGCACGCCCATGGAGTGGTCGAAGGTACCAGTTAAAATTATGCTAATTACTCTCTCGTTCATAAAAATAAACTATAGTATATTATTGATATAATAGTCCATTTGCAATTAGGATTTTTTTAATATTAGTATCGTTGCACAAAAAATTAAACATCAAACAACCAGAAACTTACCCTAGCTACTTTATTCTTTTTATAGGGCCCATACTCACAATCGTCTTCGCTACATGTAGCTGTAGAAAAATTTAAATTTCTGAAAGAAAAAAAGGTATTTTTGTATACGAGGGTAATATGACAAGTTATTGGTCAAGTAATGTCAGTAAGAGTTTTGCAAATATCAATATTTTGGGGATTATTCACAATTACTACTTTTAGGAGTACGAAACGGGCTTCTTTATATCCTTAGCGTTATTTTCCTTGGTTAGCTCCTTATATGTTGATATAGAATTGTTACTGATGGCGTTCCACAAAGTCTGTAGGAAAAACAAATGTGATACTCGTTTTTGAGCCTTTCAAATGCGAAATGCAGTCGAGAAAAACGTTTTACTGTCGTTAAAAGTTAACAAAACCTTGTACTTACGTATCACAACATGTATAAACTGCCCTTTCTTCTTTCATTCTGGAACTTTCGTCATGAGCATTACAACTGAAACAAAAAAAAATCAACTTACAGAAAAAGTCTTTTGAAATAAAAGATTTAGTTGTAAGAAAAGAACATAATATATTCTCAGTAATATTTTTCGATTATTAGATTCGAGTAGTCCGAGAAACGACTATTTTTTGTTTCGTTTATTTTAAGCCCCCTTTTTTGTGCTTCAGGATCATTTCAAGGAGAATTTCCTTGAACATTTCCATTAGTTATGTCTTGCTTCTACTAATAATGTCGACATCGTCTGCATATGCAGTAATTTGTACTGTTTTGGTGTTTATATGGCCGGTTACATTGGTTTTTCTGAATACTGCTTCAAGAACTAGGTTGAACAGCACGGTTGAAAGTGCGTCTCCCTGTCTCGCCCCCATGTTGATGTCAAACAGGAGAGACAGTTCTCCATCTACTCTAACTGCGGCTTTTGAATACTGCAACGTCATTTTTATGAGGCTGATATATTCTTTTGGTATACCTAGATTTCGCAGGTCATTCAGCATTTTGTCTCTTTCACACTATCAAAGGCTTGTTTAAAGTCTTTATACATATTATATAGTTATGTCGTATTTATAAGCTTTCTCTTGTATTGTTAAATATAAATATGTTGTATGTAGTGGCTTTTTTTGGTCTGAATCCATTTTGATAATCACCAATTATATTTTCGCAAGGCAAACATGAATAAACTAGCCAGAACAGAAAGAACAATGGAAAGAGCAATGTTAGGTATACGACTATCAGATAAAAAGAGGAACGACTGGGTAAGATCAAAAACAAAAGTCGAGGACATAACAACAAAAATTGCCAAACTTAAATGGAGCTTCGCGGGCCATACTGCTAGATAAAAAGACCAACGTTGGAATACTACAATACAACATTGGAGACCTTACGAAAGTAAACGACCAAGAGTAAGACCACAGATAAGTTGATGACATTAAAAGAATATCCGGAACAAATTGGAAATATGTTGCTCAGGATAGAGACCGATGGCAGGAATTGGGAGAGGCCTATGTCCAAACATGGACGATAGAAGGCTAAAAAGAAGAAGAAGAAGGACCAAAATACCGGAAGATCATATTCGTGCAGCATGCAACTCGTTTTTTGATCGTTTGAAAGCCGTAGTTAAGGCAAAAGGTGACCACTTCGAGCTAAAGTGAGTGGATTCTGAAATTTTGATTATTTTCACACATTTTTGTCACTGGAATCAATAAAAAATAATTTCACACAAAAAAATTATGGTCGTTTAAATAGGTAACAGTTCAATTGCGTAACCCTGTATCATTGTTATATATAGGAAAAGTTAAAATACACTTTTTATTTCCATATGTATCAATGTAAACATTTATGTAGTAACTTATTTTTACTTAAAATTAAGCAATATTAAATTATTTATTTAAGATAATTTATTAACAAAAGATTATCCAAAACAGTCGCAAATTAGTGAAATGTAGTATAGTTAAATCCCTACCAATTATGGTACAATTGTGTATATTACTGTATATTTATTTAATAAGAAAGTAAAAGGAAATTTTTCTCCATCAAAAATTTATTTACTTACAATAAAAATCCATAAAACTCTCAAGATATTTTTGTTTACATCACTCTCTAAATAAATATAAAGGCTTCCCTTATTTACTGTTGTCGTTAGCCCTTAGCCGTCCCCCTCCGCCGCCTAATCCGTCCCCTACTCAAGTTTGTAGACCTTTCGTCATTGGCGCGCGTGTTTACTCGAGTATTTACCTTATCTACGTAATGTGCCACACGTGTGGGAGTGACCTTGCAATGAACTCTGGCCAAAAATCATATAAGTGTGTTTGTACGAATTTGCATTACATACTGGTTTCTTTCCGAATTTATTAGGTCTCATGATTTCAATTATACTACACGTGTTATATTATTATGTTTTTCCAGAACTTTGTTTCGCACGGCATGTGGGATTGATAACTTTGCGATTTCATGAAATTATAGTGCAGTATAGTGTGTCCTTGCTAGAGAAAAATAAAAGTTTCTTTATCAGAAAATTCTTGAACTTTAATGAACTATTAGGAGGCTTGTCCGATCATAAGGCTGTAGTATTTGGGACGTTGACTGCCAGCTATTTCGCCATTTGTTACAGGTGGTCTGGTACTTGTTGGTGTAAATCCCATGCTATTACAGCTAGAATATTCATTCATATTACATGATTTGTATTATTACCCCAGTCTATATGTGAAAAGAATCATCGATTTCATGTAAAAATTCTATACAGGTTTTTAAAGACATAATACGGTTAATAGAAGAACAGCAAATTGGAATATTGGTCGACTTATTTAGAGCCTTATTCAAGCAATCCTATTCAGACCCCCGTACGGACGCGGCCTTCAGGGCCGGGTGACACTTTTGGGAGAGGACCTTATTCTCAGGAACTCAGTTCTCTACTTGGGAGTTCGTTTCACGAGAACTCTCAATTGGAAGGCTGACGTCCAAGATTCCCTTGACAGGATGAGAAAGAGGCTCAACCTCCTGAAAGTGTTGGCCGGTAAACTAGGAGGAACGTCCACTAACACATTGTTGCACACCTACAAGACTTTCATCAGACCGATTATCGAATACAAGGCATGCGTTTACCTCTCCCTGAGGAACCACGAACTCAATGCCATCACCGCCACAGAGCGTAGAATACTACGTTTCTGCATGAGAAAAGACTGGCTGTACCCATCGGCCCACATATATGCAATAGCTAACATCACTCCTATCAAGGACAGAATCCTAACCCTCAGTAGGAAGTATGTCTTAAGAACCATAGCTGGCTCGAACAACCGAGCAAAACAAACATTGAAGACACCTTGTTCACATAGAGGGCAATTACTCACCAGGCATTCCGCTAAAAAAGTTCCATTCCCTCCAGCTAAACTTCTACATAACGCTGGACCTGAACTTCCTGAGGAGTAGTTTGATATTTTAGAATCTTTCCCCATCTACTATCGCAGATAAACTGCGCACCAAAAACGCTGATAAAGAGCCGTTCCTACTGTATGGCTGGTAACCCTTAAGTACCTCACTGCATGCTAGGCAATCCCACTTCTTGTGCGTTCACGATTCTTATCGATCACAAAATAAGCCACCTTCTTTTCCCCTTCTTTCCTTAGCAGTTCTCTGCTTCTTAGGCCGCGTTTCGATCAGTTGACGTTTTTTCTCGTAACCCCCACAACTCCGTCAAAAAAAAAGGAGTTCCCCGTTCCTTGAAGAGGCGTAAGCCTATACAAGGTTAAAGCTCAAGGTTAGTTTATTCAATACAATATGCAGTATAGGAATCATTCCCAGAGATTGGTTGATGTCAACAAACTTAACAGGTCTTATATAACCCTCTTATCGAATTACTTGAAAAGAAAAACTCAGATATGAGAGACATCAGGATCATTAGCGCTATCTATTATAATCAGATCGCTGTGATAAAAGAGAACAACGTCTTTTCAAATGAAATAAGATTGAGAGGGGCGTCAGGCAGTGCTGTATTCTGTCTCCTACTTTGTTCAATTTGTATTCAGATGAAATAATCCAGGAAGCACTAGAAGAATTAACTATGGGAATAAAAGTATTGAGAATTTACAACAAATGGCTGATAGAGTGGTAGAAGTCAGTGAAGTAAACGTCCCTAAACACAAAAAAAGACACAATTTATGGTAATTAGCCAACAACAAAAGCCCAACAGAGTTAAGAAAACATAACAATACACGGAGAACAAATTAAAAAAGTTGAAAAATATAAATATCTGGGTACAATAATTAACGAAAATAATGAGTACACGGAAGAGAATAAGGCAAAAATAAGAAAGGCAAGAAATTCTTTCAACAAACTGAAAAAAGTACTCTGCAGCAGGGACATTTCAATTTCTTTAAAGTTAAGACTTCTGAGATGCTACGTGTTTTCCGTATTATTTTATGGGTTGGAGGCTTGGACATTAAAGAAAGATGTTTCAGACAGATTAGAAGCCTTCGAGTTATGAGCCTACAGAAGGATATTAAGAATAAATTGGGTGGATAGAGTCACGAATGTCGAGGTGTTGAGAAGAATGGGAAAAGATAAAGAGGTTTTAAATGCAATTAAAGTGAGAAAACTGCAATATCTGGGACATGTCATGAGGGGCGAGCGTTTTAACTTGCTGCAATTAATAATGCAAGGAAGAATACGCATCTCCTGGTTAAAAAATTGAGAGCTTGGTTTAACTGTACTTCTGCTGAACTCTTTAGAGCAGCGGCGTCGAAAGTGCGAATTGCCATGATGGTTGCCAACCTTCTTAGACGAGATGGCACATGAAGGAGAAGAAGAAGAAAGGTATATGAAGGATAGCTAATGACAATTTCTTGAAGACGTACAGCTGATTTTGATTTGTATTTTTTTATATAATCATAAAAAGGGAATAAATCATTTTTTGCCAGTAAAACGTTTCTTATACATTTTCGAGAATAATGGTCTAAATAAAAGTTGCCGTTGCATTTTAAAAACTTCTTGAATTTGTAAGTTTCTGAATCAAAATATATAGACAGTTGACTAAAATAATTTCAAAAAAACCTTATTTTTGTAGTAATTTATATTTTTGAGTCATTTTTAAGAAAATAATATACCTAGCTAAAATTCCAACGGTTTATAGAAATTTTCCTCTCTCTCTCTCTCTCTCTCTCTCTCTCTCTCTCTCTCTCTCTCTCTCTCTCTCTTTCTTTCTCTCTCTCTCTCTCTCTCTCTCTATGTGCGTGTCTGTATGGCTCTCAATAGCAAACATAGTGTAAAATAATACTAAAAACTAGGAAAACTGTAAAAAATATGTTCAAATCCGGCCGTGATACTTTACTAATTAATTAACAACGCGCTAATCATGATAAAAATTGAAAACAAGTGAATTATCATATTCTTAACACTCTGACAGTGGAACTCTAACTTTTTTCATTAGCAATTTTTCTTCATAATTAAATTTGAAATTTAAATATCACTTTATTCATGACTTCGACTTTGGACTCCACTTTAGC